CCGGTCCAATCGAAGCTGCCAATACTGGCTACAAACCGTCCAATCTGCAAAGCATCCCTGGCTACCTGGGCCCGCGCGCAGGGCCGGGTCTTTCCCCCCCGCTGCCCAGGTGACCAGAGCATCGCCTCCCAGGCGCCAGGCTTTTGTCTGCAGACAAGGAGCGAGATCCCCGCTGTGAGAGATTCAACAGCAGCCTCTCAGGCTGGCTGAGACAGATCTCTGGAGAGGGGCACCGACGGGGGCATTTCTGCCACAGCTTGGATGCTTATCTTTCTGGGGTGAGCTGATCCCAGCTGACTTCCTGCCCCTTGGGCAGGGGGCTGGACCCGATGCTCTCGCGAGGTCCCTTCCAGCCCTGATGTCTATGAAATCTATGAAATCCTTGGAGGTTTTTAAGACCCGGCTAAACAAAACCTTGGCTGGGATAAGATAGCTAGGGCTGGTCCTTCTTGGAGCAGGGGGTTGGACTAGATGTGACCCCGTGAGGTCCCTTCCAACCCTCATTTTCTATGACTAACCCATCAGTGGTTCAGATCCAAAGGCCCATTCTCACAGCCTGCAGCAACATCCATTTAGGTTGGCTGTTCGCTCTGAGTTGTGCAGCTGGGAAGCAGTAAAAAAGCTGCTGAAATCATGGTTTGAAAGCTGTATGGGAGGGAACAGCTTGCCCTGTGGCATGGCCATGCCTTGCCTGTGTGGTTGTCCCATGCAGCGCCTGGGGATGCAGCGTTGTGTTGGGTGCAGCGTTGCACCCTGGCGCACAGCATAGCCCGGGCTCGGAGCATGGCCCAGGTGGGTGGTGCCTGCTTTTGCCCACCATGCTTTGGACAGCAGGTTGTGGGCAGCTCTCACTAAGGCACACGCCTCCCCCCCCTCTCCTGTGAAGGGGCTGAGGATCGGCCCCGAGTGACCCTTCTGCAGCCTCCTCCCTCTGTGCTCTCCTCCGCTCTGCCGCTGGCAGGATTGCCGCCTACCCGTGCCTGAGTCACTGCAGCGCCACGCTGCTCCTCGCCCACCTGCCGAGATAATTCCCTGAAAGAAGCACAGATGCCTGCACCCTGCTA